GTTTTAACCCCAAGGAGCCACGAAGCACCAGGCAGCTGCTCTTTCACTCCCCCCTGCTCCCAGTGGGATGGGGAGGAGAGCTGAAAAATAAAAAAGTGAAACTTGTGGCTTGAGATAAGAAAGGTTTAATAACTAAAATAAAATATAGTCATAAAAACAGTAATAAAATATCGTTATAATAATACTTGTAATTAGAAGGAATATAAGAACAACGACAAAAAAAGACAAATAAATCTCAAGAAAAGGAGAAGTGATGCAGGATGCAGCTGCTCCCCCCCAGCTGACTGATGCCCCAGCAGTGATCTGCCCCTCCCAGCCAACTGCCCCCAGTTTATTCACCGAGCACGACGTCCCATGGTCTGAATATCCCTTTGGCTAGTGGGGGTCAGCTGTCCTGGCCACGCTCCCCCCTCCAGCTTCTTGTGCTCCTGCTTGCTGGCAGAGCACGGGAAATGGAGAAGTTCTTAATTTAGGGTAAGTGCTACTGAGCAGCAACTAAAAGCTCAGGGTGGTGTCAGTGTTGATCTCACACGAAATCCAAACCACAGCACTGAACCAGCTACGAGGAAGGAAACGACCCCAGCATCCAGGTGATCCTGTGCTCACCTGGACCACGGCTGAGACCTTTTCACGAGTCTTGCAGCTCACTCAGGGGTAGGGATCGAGTGATTACCTCTGGCTCTGCCTCCTCCTCCTCTTCTCCTGACCACCCTGGTTCATCTTCACCCCTTACCCAGCGAGCCAGGCCGGGGGCTCAGGAGAGGAGCAGGGCAGCAAGGACGCAGGGCAGCAGGAGAGAGCCACTGGCGAGGCTGGGGGCTGGCCGGGGGGCTCGGGGGGCCCCGTTGCAGAGGTCTGTGTCACAGCAGTGGATGCGGACCCCCGGCAGCTCCTGCTGCTGGCAGTGACGGGAGGTGGCACAGCCGCTGGTCAGCAGGATGCCCAGGACCACTGCAAGGCAAGGGCAGCACGGGACATCAGGGAGGGGGACAGCCAGGCTGGAGGGGGATGCTCTGCCAGCTCCACGCCCCGTTGGAGGGCTGTGGGGTTGGTTTTGGGGTGCGAGCACCACGGGCTGGGTCAGGGCTCCCCCAGCCCTCGGGCAGACTCACCACTCTCTGTCTTAATGCAGAACCGGTGTTTGAAGCCCTGGTGGGAGTGGGAGCAGGTGATCACCTCTGGTTTAGAGCACCCCGTGTCCACATTTTTGGTGCCAACGATGATGTTACAGCCATAACACTGGAGGCCGGACACTAAACAAGAACCATATGGAAAAAAAAATTGGATTTTTTTTTTTTTCCAGGGGGAAAATACTTCAGCTCCTTCCTAGCTGCTGTCTAAGGCCGGCTTTGCAGCTCTCTCTGCCTCGCCAAGTCGCATTAAGCACCGAGCCAGAGCCCGCAGCTGCCTGCACGGGTTGACCCACCGGGCCCCAAAAACATCAGAGCATCTCCCACTAGAGGTCAGTGCGAAATCAGGGATTAGCCGCAGAGCCGAGCTGGGATCAAACAGTGGGAACAAGGGAGCTTTGCACCAGGGTTTGGAGGGAGCAGGTGAAACCTCTCAGCCACACACACCACCCAGCCAGGGCTCAGCTGCTCCCTGCAACAGCTTTTGCCTGTTTCACCAAATTCCTCCACTTTAAGCAGCACCTGAGCTGGAGTTCACACCAAAGAGGGGGTTTAATTTTCTCCCCGAGCACCATCCTGCTTTCATTGCAGGGATTATCAGAGAGGTAAAACAACTGAGGGAGAGGAGGGAGATCCTTGCTCAGAGTGACAGTGTGCCCAAGCCCCCAGCCAGTGGCATTGGTGTCCCCAAGCTCTGCACACTCGCCCTGGCAGCAGCTCAGTCCTTCCCTGCAGGGTCAGTGACTGGCTGAGAATTGCTTCCCTAGACCAGCACCAGAATCAAGCCATTTCTCAGGTTTCTTTTATTAAAAAAAGTCTTCAAATGATATTAATTTACATCACCCACTGGGCTTGGAGCAAATGCAGTACCTGAGCTCTGGGTCGATTGATCACAGCAACAAAGATCAGGCTGCACTTGCTGGGGCTGTTATCATTCCCTGCCTCCGAATCCTGACCTGGAGCCCTTCCCAAAACCAGCTTTGTCTGCTCCCAGGGGTTTTTCAGGAGGTGGTGAGCACCTTCGGGCAGGGTGAGGAGAGCCCCTGCCCAAGGGCACTGGGGAAGAGGAGCTCAGGAGATCCTGGCTCCTGGCCCACAGTCCTTAGAACCACAGAATCATTTAGGTTGGAAAAGAACTTAAAGATCGTTGAATCCAACCATGAACCCAGCCCTGCAAAGTCCACCAGTAAACCACATCCCTCAGCACCACGTCTACACGCCTCTACCTCACCCATATGTCCTTATTTTGTACAAAACATGACGACATCAGCTCCTTCCAAAACCCACCAGCACAGACCCGCATCGCTCGGGACCAGAACGCCCCCAGTGCACCCCGAGGATAAATCACACCTCATTCACTGGGGTTTGGGGAGGATGCAGACGACCATAACTCCAGAGCACAGGCACACTCCCCACCCCGGGGACAGCAGCACTTACCCTCTGGCAGGACGAACACCACGGTTATCAGAGAGAGGATCCTGTGGGCACCTCCAGGCATGTGTCCCGAGAGCATGGGGGTCGGCTTCCGGAGCCCACCCAGGGCTTGGGGGATGACCAGGGGTGCCTGGGGAGCAGGCAGAGCCTTCTCCTCCTCCCAGCTCTTCCCCTGGCCGTGCACGCCGCTCGCTCTTCACCTCCAAAGCCCTCCAGCAGCAGGAAGGGTGCAGCAGAGATTGGGCTGCTCCCCACCTCTCCGGCCAGCCCCGTGGTGTCCGGTCTCGTTACGTCGATGCTTAATTTCTCCCTTTTCCTCCTGAGGAATTCTCTGGTTCTTTCAGCTCATGCACAGACCTGAGTGCATATGTGCTACCCTCGGTTATTTCTGTCCTATTTCCTCTGTCCACGATCACTTCCCATTAATACTCCTGTGCAGCAGCTCTTGGAGAGAAATTCTCCCTAATCAAGATTTAGTTTTAAATCCACTTCGAAATCCTCTAATTCAGTTGGATTAAGCAGAAGGGGTTTGGGGAGATGTGTGGTTTTACTTTTTTTTTTTTTCCCCTCCTCTTTTCCCTCTCTGAGCTGCCTCATCTTCACCAACAGACCCACCGGCTTTCTGTGACATACTGTGCTATTTAAAGAAGGCAGGAATAATTTTATTAAAGAGAAGCAGTCAATTAATTTTAAATCCAAGGCTCGAGATTCTCTAACAAAGTACAGCCCTAGAGATGACTGTGGGGTTAAAGGAAAATCCTGAAGGAGACAGAAGTGGGTTGGAATGTAAAGTGTGTCTTTGAGCACAAAAAAATAGTTGCCTTAATAAAGCAGCAAGAGGCCAAAAGGGGCCAGCCCTGGGCTTGCATCTGCTCTGGGGGTAGCCCGGGGCTTGGGGAGAGGGCTGGAGACACAGCAGAGGAAAAAACTGAGCTGGGATGGCTCCAATCCAACGGGGCCAGGATCAGACCCACAGCCACAAGGAGCATCACTGGCTGCAGGATCAGGTCCCCAGGCCCCTGTTGGCTCCTCCACCGTTGTCCCCACGAGCAAAGCCCCAGCTCTCAGGGGAGCTAATGGGACTTAGAGAGCTAATGCTTACTAATAAGAGAACGCGACCGAATGCATAGGATTAAAAAATTAAAATGACAAAATAAGCAGCTTATGTAGCCCATCTAGCAACCGCCTGCAGCACCTGAAACCCCCCACCCTGGGCATCCCCAACCCACCGGGCAGAGCATGGGCATCTGCTCTGCCAGACACAGCTCCAGGCCAGGCAGGGGCTCGGACCTGATTTCCACACAGCACCTTCATCAGCAAGCACGCTCGTTAAGATTTCACTGGGAAGCAGCCCAAAGTTGTCCAAGTAGGGGCAGCTACAGCTCAGGAGGGGCAGTTAGCACCAGGGAGAAGTGCCTCAATAAGGCAACTTATTTATTCAGATCACTTAAACCGCCCACGGTGTCTCGCTTGCCTCAAAACAAGGTGATGATAACAAATGTCTAACACAGCAAAGCCCAAAAGCCTCGGGGAGAAGGGATAGAATGCAGGAAATGGGATTGATTTAAACACGTGCATAAATCAGAGCATTCAATAAGGAGGGGAAACTAACTCTTAATCCTGTAATAAACTCATCGGTGTCTGGCAGGGGTGGGCAGGAGCAGCCTGGGCTGCACGGTGCACTCAACCTGGCACTCAGCCTGGCATCAGGAAGGCCAAGGGATGGCATGGTGCACTGTACCCAGCATCAGTGGGATGAAAGGACAGCACCGGGCACTGTACCCAGCGCTGGTGGGACCAAGGGGCAGCAACATGAACTAAACCCAGCACCAGCAGCACCATTCACTAAACCCAGCACCAGTGGGACTCGCAGCAGGATGCTGGGGAGGGTAACCCTGTTGGGAATATCAACCCCAAAGTAGTTCAAATTTTATTCGGTACCCAATTTGAGGTGCTGCTGGTGCTGATTGAGCCAGACATTCGTCTAGGGTTTATTCTGCTGGGATGCAGAAGGCAAAAGACCTTTAGAAAAGGGGAAAAAAACCTCCAACCAACCTCTTCGGCCACTTCCACATCTGGAAGCAGCGCGCATTTCTTTGCTGTCGCTAGCTCTGATGCAATTCAGAGATTTCTCAGCCCGGTGAACACGTCGGGAAAGGGTCTTCCCGCCCTGCCCGAGGGCAACGTGATGGGCAAATCCCCCGGCACGCTCCTCTTCCCCCTTAAACCTTCGGGATACCCAGAAAGACGGCTAAACCCAGCGCAGATTAGACGGGGTCGCCTGCAAATCCTGCTTTAGAGCTCATCCGTGCGGGAG